GGTCAGAATATCTGGTGAGTCAAAAATTGCACATCCTTGACAGAGATCCATTTAATTAATTATAACAAGTGCCACCTAATGGATGTGAAATGTGAACCACCCAGGTATGTGTGAACTTAAGGGACAATCACCACTAGTCAGAAATACGAAACCTCAAAATAGCACAGTTGGAAAAGAGGCAAAGAAGGCAAGAGTATTACCTAGACCTGCCTACTCCTTAATATTTTAAAGAAGCCACATTGCTAACTCCAGTGGGGAGGCCCAGGCATTAAGCTGAGTTAGGCAGCCATTTGGTTTATCATAAAATGGCAGCAAATTGTTGTTAACATGCACATGGCGGGCATGTGGGCATGACATGCACATGGCGGGCATGTTGTGAGCGGAGCTGGCTGGAGCCGGGGGTCAGACTAGATGGCCTGGGAGACCCCTTCTGACTCGCTCTGTTTCTATGTTAAACAGAGGCATACTGACTCCAATAATGTAGGGAATATATATGTATATGTGTGCGTGCGCGCACGCACGCGTGTGTGTGTGTATATATATATTCTCCCCATTATGACTAGTATCCTCTAGTATGCATCTAAGAGCAGGGTCCTGCCTCTTAGCTGTTCTAAATCTCCCATCATTTGGTTTTACAAGATGGTTCTAGTAGTATGAGGGGAAAAAAATCTCCCTATTCATGCAGTTCTGTAGGTGCTTATATGTAACCTTGTGCGAAGCACTCCGAGACTTCAAGTTCCTGCTTTAGCTACCCAGCTCTCAGCCTGTTAGCAGAAACAGGATTAAATCCAAGCCCATCCTTCCCTGTTCAGCAACAACATATGACTATGTTAAGTTTCACATTTGATTCTAGGTAAGTGCATTTGGGGAAAAGGGAAAAACACAACCTGTTCCCCAGAGAGGTCCGTCTGGCACCGTCATTACTTGTTTTTCGGCGCCAGGCTAAGACCTTTTTATTTAAACAATATTTCAACAACGTTTAATATTAACTATAGGTTTTAATTTGCAGCCGGAATGATTCTGGTTTTTAATTTGTATAATTTGTATCTTTTGTATCATGTTTGTTTGTTTATGTAAGCCGTCCTGAGGCGTTAAGCGATGGGACGGCATACAAAATCTCTAAATAAATAAACCTTGAAGGGTTCAAAACTTTTAGAAATGAAATGCCTTTATATTTTAAAGATTGTAAAAACTTAGATCTAATGCCTGTAATGTAGCCTGGAGCAGCTATTTTTCCCCATATATTTTGGTTGGACTGACATGGTCCATCCATTCATAAAGTCATCTGAATGTTAGTCCTGAGAAAATATATATGCAATTCAGACCTCAAGCCTGAGAAGATAGATTGTAGTGTAGCTTAGATGTAAATTTTCAGGATTTCCAGATCTGTTCCCATCTTGCAGATTAATTTTCACAGCTTGACTTTGATGCCTGGTGGCTCCTGTTTTTTGAGGTGTGGAAAAACTGAGGCAGACAGAGACTAAATGTCTGATGACATTCAGGGAACTGGCAGAAAAGAAAATAACACCCTTGTGACCAAAGGACTTTGCCTCAGTACAGCCCTTAATCCTTCTTAAAAACTGGGTGGAATCCAGCCAGTATAGCTGTGCTGGTAGAAGACTTCCATCTGTGGAACAAGAAGGGGGTGATTTGTGGAGTGGGGGAATGTAGGGGCTTCAAGAGGGAACAGGAAGAAGAAACTGTTGAGTACACAGAAGCTCTCTCGCTCACTCTCCTGCTTACTCCTTCTTTTGGTACAGATTCTCTGGATGGCTTCTGGTTTTGCAGGGACATGAACTCAGAGGGAGGGTTTGAGCTTAGCTTCTTATTCCGTCTTGCAAAACAAGCACAAACCATAGTTGGCCCGTTTGGACAAGATGACAAACTGAGGTTTGCCTCAGACCAAGAAATGAGATGGGGAATTGCTTCCAGCAAGGGAGGGAGGAGGGCATACCTGATACTCAGTCCAAGCTAACACATGTCATGACAAATCAGTCTGCCATTACAAGTCTTAGCCTTAATTATCTCCCTATTTTACCCTTCCCCCCAAAAGAAAAAAAAAAAAAAAGCACACACCTTTCTGGAATAGTGTCAGGGTAAAGGAGAGGAGAATGTTGTGAAACTTTGAACACTTTGATTTATCTAAGTAGATGGAGACATTCTAAAGAATAGGTAGGAGGCAGCTTCAAAAGTAACATCACATTTGCAACCTGTGAGATAGTTGATGTAGGGGGGCATGTGTGCACAATCCATTTCACATCCCAAACTTCTGCATTTTGCTGCCTTTTTGCAGCAGAAGTGTGGCAAGAGATAACGTAACTATCTTGCATATCCTCTTCAATGCTGTTTCAGGACTTTTACCAAAGTTACACCTGCTTATAGAAGGAAATCCTTTGAGCTGGGACTAAGCATTCTCCCGTGTGCATGTGCTATATAGTAAGAGTACATTGCTACTTCCTGGGAATTTCTGAACAATTATCCCAACAGAGAGCAAAGTAAGTGAGGGAGCTTGCTAGAAGGGAGACCCAGCAATGCAGTGACAGGGCCTGGATGTTGGGAGTTCTTGGGCAAGGCACTCTTTATGGCCCTTTTAGAAGTAAAATGCATGCAGTGTTGACACCAAACAGTCTCCTGAATGCCTCTGGTCTTCTGGAATGTGCCATGTAAACTGACAGATGCTACTGGGGCAAAGGGCTGCTAGCCAGTCTTGGGGCTCCTGGCCATGCTGATCTCTCCTATTCTGCAGAGAGGGTGGGTCAGTCCATTTCTGATAGATGCCCATTGGAAATGTGGACATGTGTTCATTCTTAAGTCTGTTCTATCCTCTTTCTGCACAAGTCTACAATTTAAAAACAGAAGACTTTGCATTAAATTACTTAAAATACATTTCTCCCAAACAGTGCATTTCTGTTCAGTCCTTATGCTAAAATAATGTGTTGTTTGAGCTGAGAATTGCAAAACGAGAAGTGTGAAATCCAAAGTATAACGATATTCAGATATAGATACTGATCTAAGGAAGTGCAAGTCACATCCATTTGCTGGAATGAGATGAACTCTTCAAGCTTGGTTTTCTCTTCTCTGGCCTTATCATGGAGAACAGCTTGATGTCTCGTGAGTAGCAGAAGTGCAGTCACCTCAGCTGTTCCCGGAAGCCATAGTGAAAGCAGAAGAGGCTGCTGCAGCCTTTGCTACCGCAACCTGGCTGGCCTTCTGAGCAGTCATGATGTGAACTCTGCGCACGCTAGCAGATGGGTGGGAGAAGGACCCGAGTATGAACCAGCTGGAGCCAGATGGCTTGCTTGTGTTTTTACTGCCTAGTTGAATTGCATATTTATAGGGCTTTCCCTTTTAGTGTCAGCAGAGACAAGAAGGCAATAGGCCAGTTGGCTGATGATTATGGATGTTTTTCCATGCTTGCATTGTAATGGCGGGATTGAGTTCTGTGCTTCATTACACCCTCCCAACCCCTCCCAGGTGTATACATGTGTATCCATGCAGATTATGCAGCAGATGCAGCATGGTGGCCCAAGAGGAGTTGTTTAAGCCGTTCTTTCTCAGGCATTCATTCTCAATTGCATGAACATGTCCCCCCTCCATTCCTTTTATCTCTAGGAAGGGAGATAACAAAAGGGAGGGGAAAGTAGTGAGCGATGATGTGAATGGACAGGAAAGGGTTAAACAGTTACCCTTATCATTGCCCCCCCCCCCCCCACCAGCACCCCCAGAACTTGACACAATGGCTTTGTGGTATAGGAAAGCCTAGAGGGCAGGTAGAGGTGGGGAAGAGAATTTGCTCTAATGCTCTTGATCTCACTAGTAGTGAAGGAAATGCTCTGCTCGGTTTGGTCCCTTGTGTCTCTTCCGTGCTCCTTACTGCCACTTTGTGGTGACTTTGTGGTACCTAAGGAAGTAAGAGCTCCATCCCTGAATCTGATCAGAACTGCCTCCAGACCAAACCACCCTCAGTCACCACCAGCCACCCAGATGTTCCTGGGAACCAAGAAGCAGCTTTTCCTCAGGGTCTGGTCATCAAAGGTCTATCAGGGAAGTGACTTTAGCTCAGTGGTGGAGGAAATGCTTTGCCTATGGTGGGAATTGTAGGCCTTTTTTCTGCCTGAATTTGCATATGACTGCAGTTCCGTGCATCCTTCAAGCAGCAGTCCAGCACCCCTAGAAGGCACCAGGTTAGGAAGGGCTGCTCAAGATTATAGCTGTAGCACAGCAGTTGCCTTATACTGGGACGCAATAAGAAAATATACCATCAACCAAATGGAAAAGTTGAGGTAAATGCACTTTAGTACAGATGCCTAATAATGGTATAACAATGTACCTTAATATCAAATATATCAATGTAAAAAATTAAAACCCAAATACTATAACATTGGCCTATTATGTTACAAGCTGTATTGCTAAATTTGTCACAGTTACTTCATTATAACATTAGTATTTAAGAATACTGTAATGGAAGAATGTATTTTCCTTAATCTTGGCTTTTGGTGATGCCTTTTATTGGAACACCATATTCTACCTAAATGGTGAATTACATAATTTCATTATGCCTTCGGTGATGGTGCATAATCACTCTTCTTCTGCATTATTACCTTCTTCCTTTGCCTGAGGTAAGGATCAAATTTATTACTCTGAAAATAAAGAAATAAAATGACTACAAACAGTGCATCCAATTTATAGAAATTAGATCTGCAATGTTTATAACTTGGATGCATTATTGGTGGACATTTTGTTTATTCTGGAGTACTGTATCATGGGCATCACATGTCCTACATGTCAGTGGATTTAAACTTACTGGTGTACTTCTTAAAGATGATTCAGTGCCTGTTTGGGTCTCACAAAATGTGTGGTGTTATCAGTGGCATACAGTCAGATACTTGAACAGCCCATCAGAAGACTGACCAGCCAGTATTACATTGTGGAAGAGAGGCCAATCAGGGTGGAGGGATGAATTTCCTGAGGAAAGTGGAAGGCTGGGTTAACATTTCATGTAATCTTTACCTCTAGGCAAATGTCACTTTGGAGAAGAGGCTTGGTGAGCTATGGATAAAAATCCCTTGTATGGATGATCTCGGGAGTTGTGTCTATGACGATGTTTGTGCCAAACTGGACCTGCTTGTCCCTCCAGGCCAGCAATGTCCAGAACCCTTGGAGTCTGTTGGCATTCCTTGTCATTGCCCCTTCAAAGCGGTAAGCCCAGTCATTGCTCAATTGTTTACTAGGCTTGGGGGGTGTGGGAGGGGGTGGCACCTGACTTAGGAATGGCAGTTCCCTGCACTGGATGGATCCCCTTATAGGCAGATGCAGCTTGTCTGGTGGAAGTGGACTTCCCCACTACCATCTCTAGCACCCTGAAAACGCTACGCAGAGGTTCAGGGGGTTCTACTAAATCAGGTGAGCTGTTGCATGGGAGAGGGGGATGCTTGAAAAACTGGGTGCAGGCCCTTTCTGATCATAGAAGACAAATCCAAGATCCAACTCACTGACTTTTTCCATGGAGACTGTGGCTATCAGAAAAGGCAGAATTGCTTTGAAATGTGCAGCCTCATCAGAGCAGAACTTTTGTTCAACTTACCAACATCTTCAAAGCTGTTGCAAATTTATTGTTTGCATGCTAGGTAAACTTTATGATTACAAATTTTTTAACATTACAAAATCTGTAATCTATGGAAGAACATCTGAGTTCAACCACACATGCATTTTTAAAAAAAAATAAGGATGAATGATGCATTACAGGAGCCTTCCCTAACTTTGTGCTCTCCAGATGTTTTGGATTTGAACTCCCATCACCCCTAACTAGCTTGGTCAATAATCATGAGTTGCTGGAAGTTGTAGTCCAAAGTGTCTGGAGAACACCAGGTTGAGGCAGTAAAAGAATGAAAGTGCAAAGGGAAGAAGTAATCTCTCTGAAATTGGACCATTAGGAAGGCTGAGCACCAAAGAATTGAGGACTTTGAATAGTGGTGCTGGAGGAGACTCCTGCAAGTCCGTTGGACTGCAAGGTGATCAAACCAGTCAGTCCTAGAGGAGATCAACCTACTGACTGCTCTTTAGAAGGCCAGATAGTGAAGATGAAACTCAAATACTTTGGCCACCTAATTAGAAGGAAGGACTCCCTGGAGAAGGGCCTGATGCTGGGAACAATAGATGGCAAAAGAAGAAGGGGATGGCAGAGGATGAGGTGGCTAGATGGAGCCCCTGAAGCAGTCGGTGTGAGCTTAAGTGGACTCCGGGGGATGGTGGAGGACAGGAAGGCCTGGAGGAATGTTTTCCATGGGTCATGATGGGTTGGACACGACTTCGCGACCAACAACAACAGCAACAAATCTCTCTAATGCATAGCTGGATTTTCTGTGAAATCAGAAAATTTCAAAATTCAAAATTCCATCCCATCTCTTTGTCTTTCCCATCCTGTCAGTACTAATTTGACAAGGATGGCCTACAAGGCTACTTCTAGCAGCTCTGTGTGTCTTAAGTTGAGGTACATAGTTTGTACCTTGCTTATTGAAAGACTTGGTGAATGTGCAGGCAACATTTGGGACTGAGAAGATTTGGGAACAAGAAAGTGTCTACTACAGCTGTTGACACACCTGCTTCTAGATGCAAAAGATAGCATCTTACTCATTTGATAAGTTCCAGCTATTTGATATACTGGAATGTGTTGCTTTCAGCATGCAAGTTGGGTCGACCTTCTGCTGAACGAGATAATTTCTGTGGCCCTTTGTATCAACCCTCATTTATAGGCTTTTGTCTTAAAGAGACAACTAGCAGCATTCCTGACCATTGACCTTACTGGCTTCGATTTTGGGAACTGAAGTTCAAAACATCAGGTCTGTACCTGGTTGAGGAAGGCTGCCTTAAAGGCCCAGCCTGTTGAGTGTTGCCTATTGCCACTGAAAGTATGCTCTGATAGATAAGCATGGACAACACAGACGTTCACTGATATTGGTTGATAGTGTTGTGTGTGTGTTTTCCCCTTTTCAGGGTTCTTACAACTTGCCTCCTTCCGAATTCTTCATACCTAATATTGGCTTGCCTTCTTTCCTCACCAATGGGGACTACAAGATTAAAGCTGTATTGAGTAACGGTGACCAAGAGCTTTCCTGCGTCAAGCTGAGCTTCTCCCTGCATACGGAAAACTTGTGGTTTTGATAGGACCCCAAGACATGCCTCCTTGATACTGAGTGCCATTCTTCCTTCCTGCTTCTTCTCCTCGTCCCTTTGATACTAATACAGAGAGTCACTTTGCAGCCTTAAGGGGAAGGGTTATAGGCACTGCTTTCATGATGGCTATTAATTATGCAGAGATACCACAAAGCCTGATGAACAAATGCTCAGAAACATTTTTACTAAAAATGTAGATGTCTGATTAGGATTAGAGCCATGTCACACTGGATATTTGTTCTACATGAGAATGCTGGGGAGTGTGGGATGTATAATACTTACTGCACAAGTGATATCCTACTTATTTGGCTGCATATACTCCAGAGTGCAGCTTCCCAGAATGTGAGCATGCAGTAATATGGCATGTGCACGAATCAGGCGTTAGCACAGCCAAAAGCCTGTCCAGTATAGGAATCTTTTCCCACAGTGGATGAACAAAGGCCTGTGTAGAGGCCTCAGGCAGAACACGAGCACAATGGCACCCTCTCATTTAGACCCCCTAGTGACCCACATACATTGGCATATTCCAATGGTGGTCACAGAGTCATCAGCCTAGAGGCCTCTGAATATTGATATCCTCCATGATCTTTATACATTCTGAGATACCATGAGATCCCCCTACATTCCAGGTTCTGATAGGGATGTGAGAAACTGGCAAGACGTGTGTGATAGTGGGTGGCCTGAGCAACTAGAGGGGGAAATCAGGCTCTGTGTTTGAGTCACACCTCAGAATTGCCAGGTAGGACCATTCTCACCTGTGCAGAGCCACCCCTGATATGAGCGGGTGCTTTGAAGCCCCAAGCTGGTCCCAGCCTCCATTTTAGCCAGCCTTGTTCCTCCTGAGTTGAACTTTAGGAGTAGGGGAATTAAAGCCAAGAATGTGAGTGAGACAAGGAAGGTGACTGTCAGCTTTTACAAACGTTAATGTCCGCTCCCTGCACACCATAAACCATGCCATGCTCCCTCAACTTGCATAAAAACCTTCCGACATAGGGCTGCTGTTTGGTGTAGAGGTAGCCCAGAAGGCAAAGCAAACATGAAAGAATAATGGGCACGTTCAAAAGGTTTGAGAAAGACTGCCTTCTATCCCCGAATAACAAAATGTAAGACGTGACCCTAATGTACATATTTAACTGGACCCACTGTAGCAAATGTATTGGTTGTGATGGTTTATTGGCTCATTTGGAGGTGGGACTTTCAGCTTGGGATCTAGCAAAAGCAGAAACACCATGAAAATCTGTACTGATAATTATTAATAGTTTTGTATACCATAAGATACTACTAACATTTCTGAAAAGGAACCAATGCTTGCAGCTCTTTTTCAAGATCTCTCTGGACTGTGTGGGTATTGTTGGGCAAAGTGGCATGTCTTCATCTGTATAGGAATGTTCTCTTCTTGTTCTTGACCAGTCACAGAAGAAAAGATGATTACTGACCTTCTGGCTGCGAAAGAACCCAACTATGATAGGAGTGTGGATGGAAACACACCTTTTATTCTCAAGGAGAGATGCTCTGCATTAAGCAGCCTGATTGGTTTATGAACATTCAAAGCAATGCCATTTTAGAATATGAGTTACCCAGGTATTAACCAGACTATTTGAAGATTTAACTAGAAGATTCTTAGTTACTATGCCATATAATAGCCATTGGGGCACCATGAGTATTGTGTCCTGACTCCTCTTGGGCCAAATTGTTTTGGGATTTGTGCCAGGTATGCAGTTACGTGAGATGCATATGTACCAGTTTTGCTTGGTACATGTTACATGTGCTGCTGTTGGACTGTTATAGTTAAAAACAACAACACATGCTGATAAGGTGGTTAACACTGAGCCGAGATTAATTGTTAGACTAAGGATAAGTTATTCCTGCTTGGCTTGAGGCTCATCAGACCTTGTCCTCTAACCACCTGATGTGACAGACACAAGTATTGTGTACAATCTTTTCTCTACCCCATATTCTCCTCCTCACCCAGTAAGACCTTACACAGACCTTACAGGCAGAGTTACGAATTTGTGCCTGTATTCTGTGTTACAAAGATTTTATTACCCTGGATGTTAATGACAATATAACTCTGCCTTTAGTATTAAGTCTTCAGGGACTTTTGTGTAGTAACAGCAACCCTAGACTTACCCTGTGACATTTCATATGGTTTGGATGTCGTGACTGCATATCTTATGTCAAATCCTAGTGCCATTTCACCTATTCAGTCATTCCAGATACCCAGCATATTTTTAAGTCCCATGCATCTCCACTGTGCACCACGTTCTTTATCTTCCCCTCTTATCCAAACAATATAATTTATCTTGGAGAAAGTGGCGAAAAGACAGTGTACAGAGCAGTAATAGTCCACATTAGTTCTGAAGAGGCTGCATTTCTTTGAGTAGGTTTTAAAAGGCACTTAATATGCCCAAGTCCAGAGTAAAAGTCAAAGGGCAGATAAGAATATACTATTGTTTAGGAGCCCCCTCCACATTTTCATGATAACTCTTGCATGACACAATAGCCCCATATCTTCCTTATAATTGTGTCCAAATTACACATGCAAGAGAGATCCTGATTATCAATGCAGCACTGCCTCCAAGGTATGTGTACAAGACCACTGTTGTACTGCCTTGCATAGTAGCTTCTCAGCAGCCTATCACCATTGCGCTTAGCGTTTTAAATTGTCAGGGCTGTGCCATGGGTTGCGGGCAACTTGCTAGTACTACTCAGTGCTTTCATAGGATTGCTACTAAAACAACCCCTGCCCCTTAAATAATATGGTTTTGGATTGTCCTGATGCAAGACACAACCCTGTGGATCATTATATGGAACATGTTTTTTAGTGAATGCCTTTATTTTGTCCTCCTGAACTTGCTGCCTTTCGTAAGCAATAATGGATTTTCTGTTGATTGCGTTGGCTTCGAATCAAACTCTAACAATTTCTCACACTTTATCCATTCCATATGCTTATCAGCAAATGTCTGATCTATTTTGTGGTGTCCAGTTTCAGACTGAAATAAATCCAGAGACCTTTAATAAATCTTTTAATTTCTATTGCTTTGTTGTTGACTGGTATTATGTATGACCATGCACATAAACGTTTCAGAGGGTTGCAAGGGCTTATACCACACCATGAAATTGAGTTGGCAATGGAATAACAAAGCTTAGAACATTTACAGACAAGAGTTTTAAAAATATTTAAACGCCTTCATAAGTTTGTATTTAAATTACAGAAGACAACTTCTGTATATTTAAACTCAGAAGACAACATCTTAAGCCTAAGTTCTTGAAACTTGTACAAAGAATTCTTTCTGATCTGGCAGACAACAGCCAGCCCAATGTACCCTGTCAGAGGCTCCCCCATGCACAGCAGACAAGCTGTGTTCATTGGCAGCTCACAAGCTGGCTGGAGTGATGGCCTCTTCGCTGCTCTTTTTGCCTGTCATTTTAGGCTGGCAGAGGTCACTTCAGGGTCTGGTCAGGCAGGGACGCGGCTGGCTGCCAGCAATCCTGGCTGAGATTAGCAACAGCACAGGACAAGCCGTGTTTTGCTCAACCTCCTGGTGATTTGGATGGCTTTTAAAAGGGAATTAGACAAATTAATGGAGGACAGGAATGGCTGCTATCCTGATGACTATATGCTACCTCTAGTATCATAGGCAGCACGTCTGTGTATGGTGGTTGTGGAGCATAGGTAGGAAGATGTTACTGAATTCATGTCGTATAGCTGTCATATAGCCTGATTCTGATTAACTTGGAAGATAAGCAGGGCTGGGCCTGGTTGACATCTGGATGGGTGACTTAAATCTTGCGAACTACCAAGAGAACTTTGGCTATGGGTGCTATAGAAATTGACGATGATGATGTCCTGCTTGTGGGTTTCCACAGGCAGCTAGCTTGTCATTGTGTGAACAGAAGGTTGAACCCTAGATTTGATCACAGCACTTTAAATGCTCTTGAGCATGTTCATAAGGAAGAAAAGCCCCATAATTCCCAGCAGTTCTCAACCAGCCAAGCAATCGAAAGCCTAAGACTGCTTTTAAGGCATATTTTGATATATGTTTGTCAAAGGGCCAAAGCACATTTCTCCCTGAGATGATCAACAAATACAACTTCCTACTCCACAAACTCAGTTGAAGGTGCACAGTGGTGAGTTTCCAAGCCACCAGAGAAAAAATGTCATCCCACTCACTGTGGCAGCAAAATGTGATAATACTAAATTCAATTGCTAGACATTTTCTGACCTTTCATGATAGCCAAAGTCAGGCAGCAGCTTGTGTTACCAAATGTGGGTCTCTATATTCCATTCTTTTTCAGGCCCCAGGGCAGTTCATATGTTAAAACATGCTTGGCATAGTAAGTGCTAGAATCTAGAGCATTAGCAGCAACTACAAACATCTGCAGAATAAAATTAGCCTTAGACAATTCAAAAGCTGACCAAAACAACATGGCAGGGCAGTTCAACTTTAGAATGAAGTAAGGCCTGAAGGCCTGAACGTTGCTCCTGCAGCTGTAAGAGATGCTTCGTCCTGAGTGCGCCTTCCTCTTGAAAAGCTGTGTGCTCTCTGCTCCTTTCCTACCAAACCATTCAAGGGCAGTGCTGCGTCCTAAGGCTCAGGCCCACAGGCCAACAAGAGAAAGAAAAGAAAAGCCCACATATACTAGCACACGTATCTCCTAGACTCCGTGTGTGTGTGTCTGTGTAAAGAACGCTGTTTCCTAAGGAAGCGTATATTGGTAGAAGGCTTGTGTGAACAGGCAGCAAAGCCCGCAGGGAGAAAGATTCAAGCAGAAGCGGAAGCACATGCGAACAAAAAGCCAGCTGTAGTCCGGGGGTATCAGGTGCGACAGAGCTCATTTATGTCCCTCTATGTCAGCAAGTGCCTGTGCAAAACAGGGCGGTGGTGAGGCAAACGGCATCCTAGAGTCGCGGGGCTGCATCGTGAATGGACCGTTCCCTACCATCACCTCTGCTCCAGCCTCTCATCTCTGAATCTGAGCCATCTATACCTGCGTGTCCCCTTCCGTCCGTCCGTCCGTCCGTCCGCCGGCTCTTATCGGAGCAGCGGCAGGAAGAAAACAACACGCAAGCTCTCCTGGTGCAAGACACACACTGTCCCCTAGATGGCGCAGCCAACACACCATCGACCGTCTCCGCGGCGAACTTCGCCACAAGCCGAAACAACACAACGCGGCTCGAACATCGCGATTGCGCCTGCGCCTTCCGAGACGCCCGGGTTGTTTGGGCGGAAATCCTTCGTCGTCGTAGGAGCACCGCACGCTGTTCTACGAAGTCAGCTGACTTTTGTATCTGTGGCAGAGCCGGCTGGTCACGTGATCAGAGAAAGGCGAGCCAGTCAGATGACCTGCCCCGGGAAGAGGCCAAGATGGAAAGCCGGTGAAAGGGAAAAGGAGGAGAGATATCAGTGGCTGGTGAGTATGGATGGGGGGCTGGCAATGGTGCGTGCTGGCTGGACGGCGGGTCTGGTGAGGGGTAGCATGAGGGAGAGTGCAATACCATCATCTCTCCCCTTTGGCTCTGCTGACTGGGGCTGATGGGTGTTGCACTCCAGCAATATTTGGAGGGCCACAAGTCGCCACCCCGGAATAGGGGAGCTGGGGCACGTCAGATGCTCTGTTGTATTGCTGGCTCCCCCTCATCCTATGTATTTTAATAGGTGCTACTGTCAGGCAAGTACGTACTTTAATAGCTAAATCAGATCTTACTGACACGCACCGAGGTTCTCCCACTGGACAGTTGATAAAAACACGGGAGCAATCCAGGGCGTGCCTGTACTGCTGTGCACTCGGGAGGCTGTCGGAGGAAGCCGGAAAGAGAGTCCGTGTTTCAGAATGACAGAGTTTGCGTGTGCCGTGATGGAATACGTGTGGAGGTTTTAGGCTTACGTAGGAGGGGTTAATCTTACACTCATGATGCTCTTTGTCTGGAATAATGTGCATTGAATATAGAACTGATGAGAGGTAGTTTACTCCAGAGTATAGTACAGAAGAAAAAGCTGGGCATGCATTCTGAAGGAAGATGGAGGAAAAGAAATTTTACTTGGATATGCAGGTAAAAATACCTGCTTTTTCTGTTTCAAGTTTTTAATGGTGTACTTAACCTTAAAGATCCAATCAGAGAATGTGTGGGACATTATGACCATCTGGAGCATGCTGGGAGTTGTAAGACTTTTTTTTCTGCCTAACATGCATAAGACTAGAGAATCACAGGTTGGGAGGGGGGTTGTAAATGTGTCATTTTCTGTTTGGGAGGGTGACTCCCTAAATAAATGAAGTTGCATGACAGGACTGCAATCCAGTTGTTTTACATTAGATGGACAAACAAGATAGCAACAGGCACTAAACAGAGGTTTTCTGAATGTGTGAGAATAAATAGTTGCTCATAAACACGGCTTCACTGGGAAACGGTAAAGAGATGCTAGGGGGATTGAGTTTAAGTGAGTTTATACTAAAGGGAGCTTGACCTTGGATTTTAGCTGTTACTTTAATTGCGCTGGTAAATTCTTCTGTGTATGGACACAGATGGGAAAGATAATGTATGGGTAGGTCATGGTTCAGTTCCTGGTATCTCCAAATTAGGTCAGGAAAGACTTCTGCCCAAAACTCTGCAACATTCCTGTTCGTCAGTGTAGACAGTGGTGAGCTGAGATGTAACTAAAGCAGCTTTCTGTTCAACCCACAATTTGGTGGGCAGGCATGGTTGGGCAGGTATGCTTGATCTCTTCGCATGTGTAGATTGCATTGGTTTTGGAATCATGCACAAGAGCAGGATCCAAATGGATTCCTGAATGTTGGCGGTTGCAGAAAGACCTCTTGACGTGGAAAAAAGTGTCTGTGCATACCTGTTTGGAAAACCAATAATGTGGAAACTTTTCACAACCATCCTCTGTAAAGCAAATCCACAAATATATGTTGCATTATAATTGCTACTTGTATACTTATATGTTGCCTTATGAATACTACTTGTATGTTTACTTACTAATGCATCCAAATGACTAGCAGTGGCTAATGAGAGCCATGTACTATTGTTAGATTGGGACCCAGGAGATCCAGGTTCTATTACCCACTTGGCTACACACTCACTGGGTGATTTTTGGACCAGTCATGGACTCTCAGTTCAAATTACCTCACAGGGCTGTTGTTAGGATAAGATTGAGAGGCGGAGGAGGAGGATTATCTAAATCATGTTGAGTTATAAATATAATGTAAATTAAATCAGTAATGACCTTCTTGGCCCTATTGTTTGTGATAAATAACTGCTTAAAAGAGTATCTGTAAGTAGCAATGAATATCTGTAAGAAGTAGCAACTTTACAAGGAAGCAAAGCTATGTTGTTGTTGTTATTGTTTTCTTATGGTTGCTATTTAAGTTTCACTATATTAGGAAGGATATGATGGTAAAGCTATTGTATTAACATCAGAGTTCCATGGCACCTTAAGGACAAGCAAATATATTCTGCATGAATCATATGCTACTTCATCTGATGCACAGAGTGTAATAGAGTTTCATGTTGTGGAGTGCAAGTGGTGGAGCAGGTGTGGGAGGAAGGGAGAATTGTAAACAATGAAGAAAATTAAAATCAGAAGGTAGTGACAATGACATGATTAGCCCTGGTCATTCACTGTGCTATTGTTGTTAAGAATATAAATGTCCTGTCACAAGGCAAGCCATTGAAGGCCTGTAGAATGATGAATAAATTTTATCTTGATTCAAGTCTCTGGTGATAGAATTAAACCCGCTAATGAATTCAGACTCAGCAACCTTTCATTCTACTCTGTCTATGAAGTTTCTTTGCTCCACAGTGGCTTCTTTAAGATCATTGGTAGAGCATCTGGGGGGGGGGTGTGGCTGAAGTGTTCTGCCACTGAATTTTTGAATATTCCTACTTCTGATGGCAGATTTGTGTCCTTTTTGGTAGATACTTGCTCTTTTTACCCCAGAATACAAAAAGGACATTGCTTACAGAAGGTGACATATATCACGCTAGAAGGTGAGCAAGTGAATAAAATCCTCATATCATGGGTGACATTCTGGAATTCAAATAAAAATTTTGCTGAGCCCTCAGTACTCTGCATTTATGAAAATAATTACCTACAGTTTAGCAAGAGTTGAAGCATAAAGCAATGAAAATGTGTAATTCAGTGGTCAAAAAGGGACAGAACATGGAGATCTTTGATCTTTGCAAACATTTGTCTTTTTTAAGGTTGTAATCTTTCCTCCAGTACTTTTCCAGATTCTACCTTCTCTAGCAACCTTTCTTGCTGATTGCAGTCAAATTAGCCTTTTAGACTTGCTGCTACTCTGCAATCTCTACAAGAAGCCATATTAATTATTGGTAGTTTTATTGCCTCTTTTCAAAAGAGAAAAGCTCTGGTACAATTATAACAAGGCATTGTGCCAGATATAGGGGAAAGAACTCTATCTTAGTCAACATTATCTAGATTGTAGTACCTAGTTATGGATTGTTCTGGTCCACCTCTGATGTAACTGATAATGAGTAGGCAAAGTAGGTGGCACAGCTGTATAGTTATCTGCACTTTAATTGCTTTGTGGAAAGGTTTTCTCTTCCCGTGCCCCCATGATTTGATAACCAGCTAATTATGCCAACAACTGATTATTTAAGTTGCCATTTTCTGCAAGTAATCAGAGTGTTACTTGCTTGCATAGGTGTTATAAATTATATGGTGATAATGGGACAGAGTCCCTTTTGGGTTACCTAATGAAATCATAGAATAGTAGACTTGGAAGGGGCCAGAAGGCCACTGGTTCAACCCCCTGCTGTTGCAGGAGACTAAGTTATGCCACCGCACACAGATGTCTATCCAGAAACTTCTTGAATGTCTGTAGTGGTACTGATACTGTTTTAATATCCTTTGGCAAGTTCAGTTTAATGGAGCATTTGAAAGTAAGCCAAACCCACCATAAAGTAGTTCCACAATTTTGCATTGAATTTTGTGGCAAAACTGAAACCTTATCTGTGGTATGCTTTTGCTAAGCAGTCTGAAGTATGTCCTGTACTGTCACAGATTCAGGATGTGAGGAGTTAGGGTTGAAATCCAGAAACATAAATCAGACATTTAACACTGACACTGAATTAGAATTCCAGTAACATCACTTTACTCCTAAGGATTGATGGACATATACATATACCATCAGACCAGAAGACGTGCCAGATGACGTTCAGCAAATGGATGTCAGCAAAAGAGTAGCAAATAACATCAAAAGACTTGCATGTTGTTGTTGTTGCTAGTCATGAAGTCGTGTCCGACCCATCATGACCCCATGGATAATATTCCTCCTGGCCTTCCTGTCCTCCACCATCCCCTGGAGTCCACTTAAGCTCACGCCAACTGTTTCAGTGATTCCATCTAGCCACCTCATTCTCTCCCATCCCCTTCTTCTTTTGCCATCTATTGTTCCCAGCATTAGGCTGTTCTCCAGGGAGTCCTTCCTTCTCATTAGGTGGCCAAAGTATTTGAGTTTCATCTTCACTATCTGGCCTTCTAAAGAGCAGTCAGGGTTGATCTCCTCTAGGACTGACCAGTTTGATTGCCTTGCAGTCCAAGGGACTCGCAGGAGTCTCCTCCAGCACCACAATTCAAAGGCCTCAATTTTTCGGCACTCAGCCTTCCTTATGGTCCAACTTTCACAGCCATACATTGCAACTGGAAAAACCATGGCCTTGACTATACGCACTTTTGTTGGCAGGGTGATGTCTCTGCTTTTTAGTATGCTGTCTAGATTTGCCATAGCTTTCCTCCCCAGGAGCAAGCTTCTTTTAATTTCTTGGCTGCAGTCACCACCTGCAGTGAACTTGGAGCCCAGGAGAATAAAATGTGTCACTACCTCCATTTCTTCCCCTTCTATTTCCCAGGAAGTGAGGGGACCGGATGCCATGATCTTAGTTTTCTTAATGTTGAGTTTCAAGCTAACTTTTCTGCTCTCCTCCTTCACCCGTATCAAGAGGCTCTTTAGTTCCTCTTCACTTTCTGCCATTAGAGTGGTATCATCTGCATATCTGAGGTTGTTGATATTTCTCAATAACCAACTTGTGATTCATCTAGCCCGGCCTTTCTCATGATCTGCTTTGCATATAAGTTAAATAGGCAGGGTGACAGTATACAGCCTTACTGCACTCCTTTCTCTATTTTGAACCAATCAGTGATTCCCTGTCCAGTTCCCACTGTTGCTTCTTGATCTGCATATAGGTTTCTCAAGAGACAAATAAGATGGTCTGGTACTCCCATCTCTTTAAGAACTTGCCACAGTTTGTTGTGATCCACACAATCAAAGGCTTTAGCATAGTCAACGAAGCAGAAGTAGATGTTTTTCTGGAACTCCCTAGCTTTCTCCATGATCCACCGTATGTTGGCAATTTGATCTCTAGTTCCTCTGCTTCTTCAAAATCCTGC